ACCGAGATCTCCAAAAACCTAGTCCCAGCTCCAGACATCTCACGGTACGCTGTGTGCATTTTCAGGTGCCCTCGGATTAAACCCAATCTTTGTATCCGTTCTCACAAATTCACTGTCAATGATTCACGATGGTAGACCAAGTAAGCGAACTGCTTCGCCGGTCAAACGATGTATTCGCTTCTGTCGAACGCTGGTGGTCACGCAATGACCGGGCCGTGAAGAACAGGGCTGCGATCAGGTGCTGAAATATCAACTAATCATTCTTATGCCAGTTCGGTGGCTTCCATGATAGTGCCCAATAGGGCTGATTCATTCAAACACAACCTCGCTACCTTCTTCGTTCTCATGACAACCATTTCAACCTTCTGAGGTTAAGGTTGGGGTGAATGTATAAAACTGTACTTTGTAAGGAGTTATGGAAGCACAAACATCCAACTTGTGGCTGAAAGCGTTACAATTATTTAGCTCGTACGCCACCGACCCTTCGTGTGTTCAGCACACACGAAGGGAAAATGGGTACACTTACAAAATAGGAAGTCGTGTACAAAGTAGTGAGCTCACACGAGCAATCAAACTGGAAATCAACGTCAGGGCGGATCCCGGCAACGAAACATGGTGTGCTCTGAAACAGCCATACGCCTTGACGTCAAAAAACTCGACCAAGTGCTTGTAGGCCTGTCAACGCTATCCGCTGATTACATCTCCACCAATGATTGCACTGTCACGAATAGTAGACCCTTCCAAGTAGCGTGTGAGAACTTGCGACAGGTAAAGGCAGGCAAAGCCTGCAGTCTCACATATCTATCGGCATTGTTGCTCCAGTGCTGAGTCGGTATTCTCAACGAAATAAAATCTTTTCTCTCCGCTTGTTGTCTTTCCACTGGGAAAATTCTACACTTTTGGTAAGATAACAACACTACCGAAGAGGATAATCCAACTTGGGCCAATCACATGTACACTTGTTTTCCTGAAGTTGTGTAGACAAGTGCTTCGAAACTGAGTGCAATATGCTTTGCTGGACGAAGGCGCACATTAGGTTGCATATCGTCCATCGTGCTCCACAGCAGATGCACACATAGCAGGTGGCGATAGCCATAATACAAATCAGAAGGTGAATGTGCACTAATAGAAGTTTTTTAGTGTGGTTGCGGCACGTATAAAAATGAGTACAATGCGAAATGGGAGCAAGTCAATAAGGGAACTTATCGTATGTGAGAGTCCCTTGGTGAAAGTCCGGACGGCGGTAACGTGTTTTCTCCGCAGTTTGGCTGCTACACGTGTTCCATGATTGTCCGTGGACTTGTGGAGAGGTTGCCGTCCTGCTCCCTGCGCGCGCGCGAGTCTGTGCGTGTTGACTGTGTTGTCGCTTCCTATATATAGGAAAGTTTGATGTGTGTATAAAATATGAATCGTTCCGTGCGTACTAAACAGGAACTGACTTGTAGTCGGTCAAGGTTGCGGGTGGAACGGCGTTTGTCACGTGACTTGTGTGCTTGTGTAGCAGGTAAGTCGTGGGATCTAGTAAACACCCATGTACTGGACAAATTAAGTGAAGTTGGTTGAGGGGACATGGAAATGTCCGCTACATAGTCCACTGTGTCGCTTCC